TTGTTACTAGTTAGTAGCTTATAGTTACTAGTTCTATTGGAGTGCGACCCCTGGGGTAATTACATAATATTAAAGGCACAGCAATAGCGTCAGATGCAGCAGATGGATTTTATGGCACCAGGTTAAACTTTCTGGCCCATTTACAGCACTGACATACATTAAAAAATATATATTGGGGGTCACGAGTCACTGGCATTGTCATTTTTGGGGTCGCGGGCTCAAAAGATTGAGAACCCCTGTCCTAATCATCCCCATATCATAATTGGCTTCATCACTCTGTCTCCTCTCCACCAATCAGCTGGGGCCTCATGTACGAAGACTTGCATTAAATTCATACTAAAACATTGCGTACGGATAAACCTGTAAATGTGTGTACGCAGTAAAAAATTCAGACGTATGAAACAGTGCGTATGCAGAATCCCACGTATATTCTCTATGTACATCCAAATGAAAGTGAAACTGAGCGCATGTGCACAAGTGCAAAACCCATCCCTGCCTCCTCCCCTGTTTTAATATGCTAATGACTCTACTTTGCCAAAACAAAATGAAAACGCAATAGCAAAAGCAAGCAAAAAGAGAAACTTTGAACAGAATGTGAATTGGAGGTGCTCCTATCGGTGGTAGACTGGAAGTTTGCAAGTGGGAAAGTATAGCTGACGCGGTTAAAGCAGTGCGGTCTGAACATCGCACTGTGAGTGAATTAAAAAGAGATGGTCCGATGTAAAGGTGTAAAATTGTGTATTGTCTATAGCAGCGTGAGTGGTGTATCTCGTAAAGCGCATGGCAAGATGTTTTGACACGTTCGAGCATGAACTCAGTTCCAATCCAGCCTCTGATGAACTCATTCTTCTTTTTCCCCCTACTACACATCAGATTTTGCCAACTCTTCATTACGAGGAAGACAAGTAGGAAACATTAATAAGTGTGTGTATTATGTTAAGCGCATTTAAAGGGCCATGACACCCCCCACTTTCGGTTAAAGTCTACTTCAGAATTTTTTCAAAAGATGCAGGATTAATGGGCGTGGAGCTCCGCGAGCATCGGGTAGGAGTGGGCGTGGCCAGCAGGGGAGAAGGGGAGCGAACAACTGTTGATGTCAGTTAGCTCACAAATTGAGACAAACCGTGAGGAGACGCATGAGTTTATAGTTTACAAAGTTAAAATGCAAAGAAATAAACAGTAATTTAATGCCCTGCTACATTTGCTATTCGTAATTTCATTTACACAACCACAATTTATATCATTATAAAGATAATCGTGTTCATATAAACACTATAAATGAGGACTTCTCCCTCAATCCCCGGGTCTGAATCATAGATCTAAATGCAGACTCAGTGGAACAGGTCTCCTGACCTGTCTATTTTAACCATTAGTCCTGCTGGTAATCTGGAGGATTTAGGCAAACACAGCAGCACGGCGATGTGTCTGAATGTGAATGAATTCCTGATACAAGACAACATCCGCCATTCTCCAATTCTTGTGCTGCTTTCCCGACAAAAATGCTTGCATCACACACACAGCTTTGCTGTATGATCGGCCCTGACAGGATCGCGGGGAAAAACATGCAACAAACCCCGTGGATTAAAGAAACAAACACATACGAGCCTTCATAAACAGCTACTGCGTGCCCGTGGGTCCATGTCTCACAGCTTGAGCTTAGCACTGGTCTGGCAGGTCTGCGTCTGCCTTGCCTTCGGAAAGCGCATGCTGTCATGCTCTCATGAATAATTAGGCAGCCGGCTCTTCTCATAGGATAAGAAAACTCCGCTATGAATAATAATGAGAAACCGACGCGTCATTATTGCACTTGCAGTACTCCGCTACGTCGCCGATTTTGATCCCGCCCCAAAAATCATTTTAAACCCGGAAGCTGAAATTATCCAGTTTTCCCCACAATTAAAGCTGACAGGTGCTAACATTGTCTTAACTGATGCTCAACACACACAAATCTGTTAATATAAAAAAAAAGTTCTCCAGGGTGTCCTGAACCTTTAAACATCACATATTATTTGCATTTATTGAATGGAAATGTTTCCGATTCACGTATGCAAATTGGTCTTCAGATGGCGCCTTTATAGCAATGTGTGTGCAGTCGATCTCTCCGATTACATTGAGAAAACCGGCAACGCTGCAAGTTGCGCTTTAATGTTTGGCTGGTCAAATGCATGGTATAGAAACCTAATATACCTGCTAGACATGCGGATGATCCCGTCCCATACAGCTGCCATTGCAGGGCTCAAAGATACTTTGTAGTGTGCAATTTAACACAATTGCCTCTAGGAGTCGCCAATGGAAATAAAACAAATACACACAAGAAATGCACGTACGCCAGACATGAAGTTGGCGTAGACCAACGCACATTCTCACTTTTATTTCATTGTTAGTAAATCTAAACGTGAGCATGAAATCTGACGTCCGCAAAGTTTTTTGTGCGTACGCAGCGTTGATAAATGAGGCCCTTAGTGTGTGGGGTGCGGTTTGGTGCAATATGGCTGCCGTCATGTCATCCAGGTGGATGCTGCACACTGGTGGTGGATGAGGAGATCCCACCCCAATGTGTAAAGTGCTTTGAGTGTCCGGAAAAGTGCTATATAAATGTTAAGAATTATTATTATTATTTAACTAACTTGTGAAGCGCTATTTTATCAGCAATTACATTTTTTTTTGCAACTAATCGCATCGAAAATAAAAGTTTGAGTGCATGTGCTGTGTATATTTATGTATATAAATGCACAAATGCATGTTTTTATTTATATTTAGATATGCAATATGTATATGATACAACTTATATATAAATTTAAATATCTATGTGAGACAGTTTTGTTTCTGTCACCTATGCTGTACAGAAAACACACACATACTGTGTGTTCATTCATTCATTTTCTTGTCGGCTTAGTCCCTTTATTAATCCGGGGTCGCCACCGCGGAATGAACTGCCAACTTATCCAGCAAGTTTTCACATTCAACATTCAACATTTGTTTCACATTCACATTCAACATTCGTTTTCAACACTCACACACACATTCATACTCTACGGACAATTTAGCCTACCCAATTCACCTGTACCGCATGTCTTTGGACTGTGGGGGAAACCGGAGCACCCGGAGGAAACCCACGCGAGGGCAGGGAGAACATGCAAACTCCACACAGAAACGCCAACTGAGCCGAGGTTCGAACCAGTGACCCAGCGACCTTCTTGCTGTGAGGCGACAGCACTACCTACTGCACCACTGCCTCGCCACATACTGTGTATATTGTGTCAAAACAAAATTATTTTGGATGCGATCAATCTTTGCCCAACACTAATTCTTTTAATGATGATAATAGAATAAACAGGTAATAGATGTTTTTCTCAGCTAATTAAGTCTTAAAAATTATGTCAAGGTGCAAACACTGTACCGCTGAGCCCGACCAGATTTCTTGCAGCGTGGAAAATAATTTTGAGCAAGAGCGGTCGGTAACTGGTGTAATTTTGGACGGGAGTGGGTGGTCTAACAATATTGCTCCCGACTCCCGAGCGAGCAAGCATGCGTATGTGCGTGAATGAGCGAGCGTGATGCTGTGTTTAGCTTGTTTGTTGCTGTCTGTGTGTGTGTGTGTCACTTGCTTGCTGCTGTGTGTCTATGAGTGTGTGTTTATACGAACAGCTTGTTATAGGCTGTCTGGACTCTGTATAGCTGGGTGGTTTTTGGTTTTGTTCTCCTCCCTGCTTGTTAGTGGGAACAGGCGCGGTGGGTAGAAAACGTGGCGGGTAGGGCAGCGGGACAACAAATGCTGAATATAAGTGGGAGCGGTTGGGCTCGGACTAAAACCTGGCAGGAGTGGGATTTAAAATTTAGTCCCGTGCAGATCTCTAGTCTATGGCAAAATCTCCAAAGTGTGTCTGTGTGTCTGTCTGTGTGTGTGTGTGTGTGTGTGTGTGTGTGTGTGTGTGTGTATTAATTGCCTGGAATGGGTGACAAAGTCATATGTAGGAACCTCCACCACCTTCCCTTCTACTATATCCTTCAATGTCTGACACATGAACTCCGTATCAAACGCATCTGAAAGAGAGAAAACACACGAGTGCATTGCAAAAACATCATCAATTACTGACCCACGGGTCATTCCAGAATTGTACTACTGAACTCGTGCATTGATTTTATGATTTGAGGACATAATTATCTAACAAACAAATGATAACGGTGTTTTATTCGCAGGTGTGTCAAAGATGAGACGTGTCATTTGGTAAGTGCATCCAGTTTAATGTACAAAAGTAATTTTTAGTGCTGGGCAAAAATCAATCGCATTCAAAATAAAAGTTTGTACACATAGTATATGTGTGTGTACTTTCATATATTTATATATCATAAATTTACTATATACATATATAAATACACGCATGCATATTTGAGAAAATGTTTATTTATATTTAGGTATAAAATGTGTATTGATACAAATTATATATAAATTTAAATATCCATGTAACAAAATTGAATAGTTTTGTTTTTATCGCATACATAATAAATATACACTCAATGGCCACTTTATAAGGTACACCTGTCCAACTGCTCGTTAACGCAAATTTCTAATCAGCCAATCACATGGCAGCAACTCAATGCATTTAGGCAATGAAGACATGATCAAGACAATCTGCTGCAGTTCAAACCGAGCATCAGAATGGGGAAGAAAGGGGATTTAAGTGACTTTGAACGTGGCATGGTTGTTGGTGTCAGACGGGCTGCTCAGAGTATTTCAGAAAATGCTGATCTACTAGGCTTTTCACGCACAACCATCTCTAGGGTTTACAGAGAATGGTCTGAAAAAGAGAAAATATCCAGTGAGCGGCAGTTCTGTGGGCGCAAATGCCTTGTCGATGCCAGAGGTCAGAGGAGAATGGCTGGTTCCAGCTAATAGAAGGCAACACAGTAACTCAAATAACCACTAACACTAACTTTCTGCTGCGACACTCGGATGGTTGGGTCAGAATTTGGCGTCAACAACATGAAAGCATGGATCTATCCTGCCTTGTATCAACGGTTCAGGCTGCTGGTGGTGGTGTAATGATGTGGGGGGATATTTTCTTGACACATTTTGGGTCCATTAGTACCAATTTTGCATCGTGTCAATGCCACAGCCTACCTGAGTACTGTTGCTGCCCATCCTTTATGACCACAGTGTACCCATCCTCTGATGGCTACTTCCAGCAGGATAACGCACTTATGTCATTAAGCGTGAATCATCTCAGACTGGTTTCTTGAACATGACAATGAGTTCACTGTACTCAAATGGCCTCCACATTCACCAGATCCTCAATCCAATAGAGCACCTTTGGGATGTGGTTGAATGGGAGATTTGCATCATGGATGTGCAGCCGACAAATCTGCAGCAACTGTGTGATGCTATCATGTCAATATTGAGCAAAATCTCTAGGGAATATTTCCAGTACCTTGTTGAATCAATGCCATTAAGGATTAAGGCAGTTCTTAAGGCACAAGGGGGTCCAACCCGGAACAAGTAAGGTGTACCTTATAAAGTGGCCGGTGAGAATGTGTATATAATAGTTATTATTTCAAAACAACCTTATATTTTGGATGCAGTTAATCGTGATTAAACAAGGCTAGATTTGATACACTTTGAAAGCTTATTAAATGCAAATAAATGGTCTGCTTGAATGTTAACGAATACATTTATATAAAACTGAAACAGCAAATATTTCAAATAATAAGTGATCGTTCAACATTTTATCACATTTTGAATCCTAGTGTTATTCCTGACAAGGGTAAAACCTATTCTGTTTTGAAGGATAGAGGCTAGGTAATAATGATTTATAATTATGCCAATTAATGAGTATTTTGGGGGCCTAAAATTTATTTATTTATTTATTGTTTTTGTGGAACTTTTTGTCCAAAATACTTCAGAATATATTGTTTTGTGTTCAACAGAAAAAAGCTAATCCAAAAAGTGTAGAAGTATCATCTGAGTGTGAGTAAATAGTGAGTAAATTAACAATTTTTGGGGAACTGTCCCTTTTAGCTATAAATGCAATCAATGACATTTTAATTAATAACATTGTTTTCGGTAAAAACGTGCTTAATGTATCAAATATAATGAGGAAAAGGCTACATGACAAAAATGCTAATGTTAATTGCTGACAAGGGTAAAGCCCAGTGTTTTGAAGGATTGAAGCACAGTAATAATGATTTATAATGACAAATAATGAGTATTTTTGGGGGCTGATGATTTTGAATATATTGTTTTGTGGTCAACAGAAAAAGCTAATCCACGAAAGTGAAGAACCACCACCTGAGTGTGAGTAAATAGTGAAGAATTTTTTTTTTTTTTTTTTTAGGTGAACTGTCCCTTTAAGCTACAGGTACAATGGATTTCATTTTACGGTGTGTTTTTGATAAAACATGTAAAAAAATGTAAACAATAATATTTTGCTCTGGAAAAAAAACTCAAATGCAAAGAGAAAATCATGACAAATGTGTTGTTTTGGTGTTTGAAAGCCCTTTTTGCCCTTGACCCAGATGTTTTGTGTATAGTTTGTTTTTTACCTGGATGGTCAAAGTTGTACTGGCCTTTCAAAGCCTTTGCCTTCTGTTCTGGAGTGAGAACTCTGTAGAAACTGTCCTGGCTGACAATAGTGACCTTCCTCTGATGGTGATCCACTTTATTCTGTCCCAAAAGCTCCATGATTTTTGCACATACTGTGGACTAACAAAAAAAACACCTGTTAATGGCCTGGACTGACAGTCTAGTGCGCATTTGTAATTGCATCAGCCTGAATATCATTACAGATACTGTTACAAGTGGACACCAGGTATAAGAGAAGTGCCTGCTATTTAATTAGTCGCAAAATGGCATTTCACACAGCTTATAATAGACATCCTATGCATGTATACAGTGCAAGGCAAAATTATTAGGCCTCCTGTGAATTTTTGTAATATTTTTTAATATGTTAGAAGGGATGTTTAACAGAGCAAGGATATTTTCACAGTATTTCCTACAATATTTTTTTGCTTTTTCTTTGGCTGAGATGGTGTTTTTTAAACTAGGTCAATATTATTAGCTGCCTTAAAGATGCAGTAAGTGATCTGCCAAAATGCCATCCGTTAGCATAATATCTTTGAAAACAGTCCCTGCCATTCAACACCACACCTAAAATCACGAATGCACATCTTAAAGATGACAGAAGACGTCCCACTAGATGAAGGGTTGTCCAAACTTGGTCCTGGAGGGCCGGTATCCTGCAGGTTTTAGCTTCAACTTGCCTCAACACACCTGCACTGATGTTTCTAGAAAGCCTAATAAGAGCTTGATTAGCTAGTTCAGGTGTGTCTGATTGGGGTTGGAACTAAACTTTACAGGACACCGGCCCTCCAGGACCGAGTTTGGACATGCCTGCACTAGATCATGTCATTCGCCGGTTAGAAAACTTTATAGTTCTTTAAAATACTATAACAGTAAACAGCAAGTGCTTTTAGTGCTGTTGCCTCACAGCAAGAAGGTCGCTGGTTCAATCCTTGGCTCAGTTGCCGTTTCTGTGTGGAGTTTGCATGTTCTCCATGCGTTCGCTTGGGTTTCCTCTGGGTGCTCCGGTTTCCCCCACAGTCCAAAGACATGTGGTACAGGTGAACTGAGTAGGCTAAATTGTCTGTAGTGTATGAGTGTGTGTAAGTGTTTGTGAATGTTTCTCAGAGATGGGTTGCGGCTGAAAGGGCATCCGCTGCGTAAAAACGTGCTGGATAAGTTGGCGGTTCATTCTGCTGTGGCGACCCCAGATTAATAAAGGGACTAAGCTGACAGGAAAATTAATGAATGAATAATACTATAATTCTTATTATATAATTACTATCATTCTTGATTTAAACTGTATTATATCTAGCACGTTTTCAGTTGTGTAGCAGCAAAACTTGTCATATTGAGCAATATTTCATGCATTCAAGGACCGCTGATCTCACTTTCTCACACACTTTGTTCTAAAGCGATTGCTGTATGCTTAGTAGTTGGCCACGGTGTGCAGGAATTCCACTTATTACTAAGCCATACTTACATGCTATTTCAGACTGAATACTCAGAGTAGCGGTTAACAAGATAGGGAGCACATCACAGGCTGTCATTGTTCAAAAATTAACCACTGTGAATATAAAACCAACTTCAGCTTAGTAAAGCAGACTAGGAGAAATAGCGCTCTTTACTGCTGTTCAGTTAAACTAAATAAAAATCTACATTACTGATGCTGTAAAAAGTCCCTTGTGAAACTGAAAGTAGTCGCATCAATCTTTTGCTGGAAGATTTCAGTGGCTGAACAACACTTCTGTGCATATAACCCATTCATAAAACAACACAATCTACATCAGCTCTGCTTGACTAAAATAGTTTAAAACAGAACATCACCTGTCTAACAATAATAATTCAGCCATGGTGTCATCCTTCCTCCAGCGTGCAAAACTCACTCCAATATTGATTCAGGATTTTAAAAAGTTGATTCCCCATTTGTTTTTACCACTGTCTCTCTCCCGCATGCACACACAAATGGCAGATCTGCGTGATAGGGATGCGCAGATGTATAAATCTAAATTTGTTGACAGACAGCTTAGGCTATTTATCAGAATTATGGGAATTGTTTGCACGACGTTAATTAATTGGATGAACATTTTTTAGTTGTATGCTTTACCCAAAATATAAAAACACATTTAGATTATTTACTTTAATTACTATAGGAATGTGAAGAGACTTTCAACCAGCACAACAACAAATGTCTCTGAAGACAATCATTTACTGCACCTTTAAGAAATTAATTATTTCTTTTGACTACATATCAAAACACTGTTGTACAATGACGTGCCTAATAATTTAACTAACTTGTCTAGTTAACCAAATTAACCTAGTTTAGCCTTTAAATGGCATGTTAAGATGAATACCAGTATCTTAGAAAAACATTAGTCACTGTCATTGAAGCAAGGACAATAGGAATTAGTTATTAAAACTATTATGTTTAGAAAATGTGCTGGAAAAAAAATCTTCTTTATGTTTAATAACACTTTAGATTAGAGCTGCACAATATATCGTTTCAGCATCGATATGGCAATGTGCGAATCAGCAATAGACACATCGCAACAGCCACATCACAGAATATGCAATGTCAAGTTGGAACTACTATAGTTAACCAGGAAACAATTCAGAGCACATGAAGTGATTGCAAAGTTTCACCCTACTATAATGGTGTATAATTGTTTTTTATGTGTTTTCAAGGCCCGTGACTATAATTTCAAGTGAACTTAAAACTATTTGGGCACAAGTAATGATAAAGTCTGCCACTTAAACAAAGAACAATTGTGTTTACTTATACAAAAAAGTCTCTATTTTCTGTACCTCAATACACCACCAAAAACCATGAAGTGCTGTTTATTTGATTTCTATCATTGTGCTTTTGTTTTCATCTGTGCTCTAATTATTATTAATTTTTTGGGTAATTTTGTATATTTTATGCAGATGAACCTACAAAATCCCAATCAAAGGAAATGATAAAATTCTTAACAAATAGGAGTTACTAAAGTTATCTTGTGAAATTATATTCATTTCACAATACAAATCCCAGAAAAATAAAAGCCCTACTTTACATATATATATATATATATATATATATATATATATATATACACACACACACACACACACACACACACACACATATATATATATATATATATATATATATATATATATATATACATACATTTTTTTAAATATATATATATATATATATATATATATATATATTTATTTAACATAATTGAAATGACCAGAAGAGATAATAATTGACGTTGACTATATGTTCTGTAATCAAGGTAGAGTTGGCTTTATATAGGCACATTCGTTCATTTTAGCGGACTCTGTATTGTTTACCAGGCTAATTTGAATATTAGGTCTGAAATGACTTCAAAATGGTTTTCTGATAAGTATGGTTTTACCTTTGCACCTGACCCAGAGATTGCTGTATTTGGGTACTCTCATTCTCTGCTGAAATGTAATGTGTCCTTACAAAGCACCATCATTTATGGAATGATTACTGCTAAGTATGTCATTCTAAAACTGGAAATCAGATTCTTTTCCTCAATTTAAGACATGGTTAACTTACCTCACACAAATATTGCAAGTGGAAAGAGTCTGTTATGGAGTTATTGATAAGTTTTACAATGCATCGCAACCATTTCTTGAACACCTGGACCAATATAACGCAAATTTAGAGCAGAGGTGTAATGCTTAATATGCTCATTACCCCTATTGTCTGCCTCTTTGTATTTTCAGTGAAACCGTATTAAAAAACAGAAATTGTTTTTTTAATAATAACTTTAATTACTATTACCATTATTTTCTTTACATTACAATGCTTATTTCATGTGTATATTTTTATATATTTATGTATATATTATTTGTATTTATATTGTTGTTGTGTTGTTTGGCAATTATTGAAAATGTAAAACTAATAAAAACGCTTGTTTAAAAAAAAACAGTATGACCTCAAAAACAATATTAGCACTATTTAATTGACTACTAAGTACAATGTTGTAGTTGATGTTCATTGGCTGCTGTTATGATTTCCCTGTTTAATGTTAGAATTTGCAAATAATACTTTTTTGAAATTATATTATTAAGGAGAACGTCCGAACGTGTGAATATAAAACCAACTTAATCTTAAATTAAGGAAAATAAAACAAGTAACGTTAAATGCTAACTCATTGCTAACCCAACATGCGATGTTTTTAATGCATTTTTAAGCATCTATATATGTTTTCATTATGTATGCAATGTCCCATACCTTCCCGCTGGCCGTTCCTCCGCTCACACCGATCAGGAAAGGTCGGTGCCGCGGCCGCTCATTGTCACACAGCATACCGGATGAATTCATGCTAAAACGGTGGCAAACACCGCGTTTACTTTACGTGTGGAGTCCAGATGAGCGCATAAACTCGTTCCGGAGATGAACTGTCATCGGTTGGAGGTTGTTGGGGCGGTGTGTGATCAAGTACCGCCTGGTTTCACTATCAGCCGGGGATGTTTGTCTATTTTCGGGACGTTTCTCTTCCACCGCGGGGCGCTCGGTGACTCAAACCGACAAGTTTCCGTTGAGGGTCGTTAAATTCTCTTAATGCTTTTAATCTTATTGTGTTAATTTAGAGAGTATCATATTATAAATCTACACCTTATCGAAACTTATTCCTGAGGTTTAACTGTATACCGTCACAACAGTGTTTAATATAATGTTGTCTAAAACAGCATGCGGTTATAACTACAAACGACAGTGATTGGTCTGTCAGTCTCCAGCGGTGAGATAGGTAACAGTGACTGTGTGACCAACCTACCTGCGCACCAAATTAGCGCCGTTTTATAACGATATAACATTTTGTAAAGACGTTTGAAAATAATAATTGGCGTTTAATTGAAAATATACTCTACGGAATTGTTGTTTACAATGTATTTCATATACAATAAATGCAGGTCGGTAATGTAAGCACCGACCATTTTGGATCTTTCTGTATTGAGGATTGCCGTTCTACCCGGTTTTTCTGTTTTATGTACGTGACTGCGTCATTACGCTGTGTAAACTTGAAAACGGACGCATCACACATATTTCAACACGAGTATCTTCGATTGACTTTTAAGATTTTGTGACAATAATTCATTCATTCATTTTCCCTCGGCTTAGTCTCATTATTCATCTGGAGTCACCACAGCGGAATGAACCGCCAACTTATCCAGAATAAGTTTTACACAGTGGGAAACACCCATACACACTCATTCACACAAATACACCACGGCCAATTTAGTTTAGTCAGTTCATATAGTGCATGTGTTTGGACTGTGAGGAAAACTGGAGCACCCGGAGGAAGCCCACGCCAACATGGGGAGAACATGCAAACTCCACACAGAAATGCCAACTGACCCAGCCGGGGCTCAAACCAGCGACTTTCTTGCTGTGAGATGACAGTGCTAACCACTGAACCACCGTGTCACCCTCTTAACAATAATTCACTCTCAAAATTATTTAATAGCCAAAAAAAAAAAAAAAAAACTTAGAAAATATTAATTTTAAAAATATTAAATAAATTTCCTAATTATATTATTACTATAGTTTTCATATACATTTTCAATATATGCTGTTATTAAAAAAAACAAAACATTTTATTTAACACATTTGCAACAATGTTTTTGAGAAAAGTTTCTTCTAATTGCTGTGGCTGCAAATTTTAGACAAAAAATATTTCATTTATAAACAAAACAGAAATATACAAAAATGTTTAATATGTACAAAAAAGTAATATATATTTACAAACAAATAATATATATAGTTTCTCTTCATTCAAATCTAAATGTTCATATTTGATAATGGCAACCACAGTATAACATTAAAAAAAAATTGTTTATTTTTCCTTTTATAAAATACTTTCATTCATCAAGGACATTAAATTAAATTGATCAAGCATGACCGTAAACATTTATATCTTTACAAAACATCTAATTTCAAATAAATGCTGCTATTTGTAACTTTCATTCTTTGAAAAGTCCTTAAACTAAAATGTATAAGAAAAATGAAGCAAGAATAAAGTCAACATTTATAATAAAAAACATTATTTAAGACTGAGCACCAATAATAATTGATCATAATAGACCGTCAAATAAGCAGAGGAATCATTTTTGAAGGATTATATTACATTAGACTAAAGTAATGATTAAAACACTGCTGTTTTAGTCCATTTCAGAATGTCTAAGCCTCTTCTTTTTGTGTTTTTGCTTGTACTCATTGGTTGTTTGTGGAAAAATGTTATCGATTAAGCTGTTTTTATGTTTTCCAGTCAAAGCTCTCTAAAATAAGCCAAGTGTAAATGTTGCAGTGACCACCAGGGGGAGCAGAACACTTCAAAATAACATCAAAAGTCTTGAGGTGATGATTTATTTAATTTTACAGTGCTTTAATAGAACAAATGTATTAAAACTATAACAATATGATGCAAGGAATTACTAGACCTGATAAGATAACCAGTGGCAGACAGTCAGTATAAATATCCATCATGTTTTGTCTGAACCGTCGCTCAGATGTGCTGGTTTCTGTTCATCTGGATTATTTCTGGATTCTTCGTTAACAATCTCCAGAGCCTCGCTTCCTTCAACTCTTCGCACCGATTCCCCTTTAGCAGCCAGAATCTCCTCGATGTTTCTATGGCAAAACACAATGCTCAGTGGTCGAGTTAAGTTATTCTCAGGATGCTTTAAAGCAGGGGATTTCAAACTGGAGCTGAGAGGAAAAACTAAATATTATGTCAAATATAAAAATAAATATTAATAAACAAATATAAAAACTTAAAATAAGCATAGCAATTAAAACGTTAATGATACAGATGTGATTCAATTATGATGAATAAACTAGATCAATTACTAATAATATTCGTTAATTCATTTTTCTTGGGCTTTCGGCTATTCATTCATTCATTTATTTTATTTTCGGCTTTGTTTCTTTGGCCTTTATTAATCTGGTTTCGCCACAGCGGAATGAACCGTCAACTTATTCAGCATATGTTTTATGCAGTGGATGCCCTTCCAGCTGCAACTCATCTCTGGCAAACATCCACACACACACACACACACACACACTATGGACAATTTAGCCTACCCAATTTTTCCTATAGTGCATGTCTTTGGACCGTAGGGGAAACCGGAGCACCCAGAGAAAACCCACACGAATGAATGGACAACATGCAAACTCCTCACAGAAACGCCAACTGACCAAGCCGAGGCTCAAACCAGCAACCTTCTAGCTTTGAGGTGACAGCACTACCTACTGCGCCACCGCGTTGCCCGAAACAATATTTATATTTAAAAATTTTATTGAAACATAAATAAATGATCAATACTCAAAATTTAGGGGGTTAAAAAAACTCAAGAAATGTTTTTAAATGAATACTTTATCATCATTAAATTCTTCCTGCTGAAAATTGGGTCTTTATACATGAAAACTTAATCATTTATAATGTTTTAAGTACTTTTTTTTATTTTTAGGATGTGGTCTCTTTTACAAGAATGATTATATTGTGGGTATTTATTTATATTCTGCCTTTAAAATAATGTGCGCAGATGAATTGTATATACACACACATACCTTTTCCCCTCCAGGTCCGAGAACCACTTCAGATTATCAGCGATGACGTGATGGTTCTTGCACCCAGGACAGGTAACTATGACGACACCCTTGTGATAGGCCAGCTTGGAGATTTTCTTCATGGAGCGAGTGGAGCAAACCTGAACGCAAGAGTGAAGAATTAAAGGGACAGTTCACCCAAAAATAACAGTTAACTCCTCATTTTCTATTCGTCATGTGGTTTGAATAAGTTTTTTTTCTCTGTCGAACACAAGAAGATATTTTGAAAAATGCTGGTTGCTGGCACAAATTGACTTCCATAGAAGGAAAAAATATAACGGAAGTCAATGAGTCCCTTTAAAGCACTCAAACTCAATTCCTGGAGGGCCGCAGCTCTGCACAGTTTAGCTTTAACCCTAATAACCACAACATCCCTGATCAAACTTATCAAGTCCTTCAGGCTTGTTTGAAACCTACAGGTAAAGCTGCGGTCACGCTAGAGTTTAAGCTTGCAAAATTTTGTCATACGGCGGATTAAACGAGATGATTAGATGATGGGTCCATATATTAAAAATTTCTGTCCAGAGAGGTCATGTTTTAATCCTCGATTGGTCTCACGCAGTCAAGTTATGCGATTTCGCAGGTCAGAGTTCCCCAAGCTTAAACTTTCCAACGCAGCAATCTGCGAAACTTGACGCACAAACTTGCGTTTCCAGTCTGACACATTCGAGTGCGTATGAATAGAAGTCTATGGGGAGAAAATTCCAGTGTGACCGCAGCTTAAATGTGTTGAAGTAGGGTTGGAATTAATCTGTGCAGGGCTGCAGCAGTCCAGGAACTGAGTTTGACACCCCTGTTTTAAAGGAATAGTTCACCAGAAAATATCATGTGATTATCACCGATTGGATGAGAGGGGTCTGGCTGCAGACCTGGTGCAGTGCAATCTGGACTGCATCCAATGCTTTTTAATAGGCTCACCTAACCCCACCCCTAACCCTACCCGTCACATTGACGTCACTCGCTCCATTTGAGTGCATTGTGTCTGACATTGCATCGCTGAGTGATGCAGTCTCAGCTTGCATCATAAAGGCTGCATCCAGACACTATTGGATTGGATGTGCAATTCAGAATCTTGCCAGAAATAGTACGTCATCTGGGTACTTCTTGCCTACTGTTTTTTTCATTACTATAAATTCAGGCATACTACTCGGCTCGCATACTGTATTTAGTGTTCTATATAGTATGGAGGAATACGATTTCGGAAGCAGGCATTGACTTCCATAGTAGATCTTTTTCATATTATGGATGTCAATGGTATATAACATTCTTCAAGAAATCTTCTTTCGTGTTAGAAAAAAACTAAACTCTTGTAGGCGAGTAGTCTGTGAATACATTTTTATTTGTGGATGAACTCATTCATTCATTCATTCATTTTCTTGTCGGCTTAGTCCCCCCATCAATCCGGGGTCGCCACAGCGGAATGAACCACCAACTTACCCAGCAAGTTTTTACGCAGCGGATGCCCTTTCAGCCGCAACCCATCTCTGGGAATCATCCACACACACATTCATACACTACGGATAATTTAGCCAACCCAATTCACCTATACCGCATGCCTTTGGTCTGTGGGGGAAAACGGAGCACATGCAAAGGCAGGGAGAACATGCAAACTCCACACAAACGCCAACTGAGCCGAGGTTTGAACCAGCGACCCAGCAACCTTCTTGCTGTGAGGCGACAGCACTACCTACTGCACCACTGCCTCGCCCTTGTGGATGAACTATCCCTTTAAAATCTGCATGAAAATGAGCTGCTGAGACTTTGATTTCTGTATGTTGATGTACCTCCATCTTGTGCATGAAAATCAGACACTAGCTCAAAGATGTAATGTTGAGGGACACGACAGAAATATAATCAAAAAGAATATTTATTTTAACACAATTGAAAATAACGGTAACACTTTACAATAAGGTTCATTGGTTAATGCATTTACTAACATGAACTAATCATGAACAGCACATGTACAGCATTTATTAATCATAATTGATCATTTACTAATGCATTATTAACATCCAAGTCCGTGCTCGTTAACATTAGTTAATGCACCATGAGTTAACAAATACAGTAGTAAATGTATTGTTCATTGTTTGTTCATGTTAGTAAATGCATTCATTAACATTAACTAATGAACCTTATTGTGAAGTGTGACCAAAATAACATAATCAAAACATCAGTATGCACAGTTTGTTCAATCAGTGTGAAAAGCAAGTGAATGGATGCGCTAAGTGTTGTTGGTTATAGTGTAAATAAATTTAAAGCGACAGTCACCAAAACGCCACAATTAGGATCAAAACCTAAAAGAGGAAGATTTAAAGAGTCATAAAACATTATTAATGTTGTATTTTGAGCTGCAACGTCACACACACATTCTAGAGCAGTGGTCACCAAACTTGCTCCTGGAGGGCCGGTGTCCTGCAGATTTTAGCTCCAACCCTAATCAAACACACCTGAACAAGCTAATCAAGATCTTACGAGGTATACTTGAAACATCCAGGCAGGTGTGTTGAGGCAAGTTGGAGCTAAACCCTGCAGGGACACCGGCCCTCCAAGACCGAGATTGGTGACCCCTGCTCTAGAGACATCAGAGACAAGGATAATAGGTCCCCTTTAAGTAAGTTAGTGTGAAGTTTTCCTCACGGAAGAGTTAGGAATCGTCTTACTTTGCAGGTGTATACCAGGTGATAGTGTGTGGACTGCAGCTGTCCGATGGCTTCGGTGGAGAAACTCCTGCAGAAACTCAATCCTAATCCTGCATCGTGTCCCACATCAGACCTCAGTGTTGAGTTAGTGAAGGCGCTGTTTGACTCCTCATGTGTTACTCTGGCTATTCGCTGTGTTTCGGGCACTGACAGGACTCCCGCACCACGTGATCGGAGTAATCTCGGTCTGAATAACAAGTAACACAGTCGAGAGTTCATTGTCCTAACTTTTATTCTATTTTAACACCCGCTGCTTTCCTAATAACGATATTTGACATTTCTGCTCGCAGCGAGTTGAATACAATCGCTCGTCGCTTGCTGATGACGTCAGACATGCAGAGGCTTGAAGCCCCGCCCGCTATGTTTACATGTGGATTACATCAGTTTGTTTTCCCGTGGTCATGTACAGTCAGTGGTTTAGTGGTTATTTGTGTATTATAAATGCATATTATAAATGAAAGTAACAAAATAAATTGTAAATGATTATCAAACAACAAATAATTTAGTAATTGTCACATTGTCCTGAACACACACACACACACACACACACACACACATATATATATATAGCATTTGTTCTTAAACAATTTATTATATTATTTACTAACTTTATTTTATAATACGTAAATAAGATCTATAAATTATTATAATAAAACATTTATTAGATGTTTATATTGCATGATAATAATTCCATAAACATACTATAAATAAATAACTTATAATAAATATCTAAAAGCATATTCAACTATTATGTTCTATTTGCATATAAAATTAATAATATATATGATGACAAATGTATACAATATAATATTAAGCACTTACATATACCGTTTATTTTAGAATTATACTTATACACATTTTAATATAATATAATTGTTTGTTATAATATTTATTTTAGTACAATATATTAAGATTTTAAAAAGTAATTTATATAATTTAATATCTTATAATACTTATAATAATTATGTTTCTGGGCGGTTCAATCTGTTGTGGCGACCCTTGACCAATAAGGGACTAAGGAAAATGTATAATGAATATATAATAATAATAATTATTATTATTATTATTATTATTATTCATTTTCATTAATACACTATGGCCAGTTTAGTTATTCAATTCACCTTAAGCGCATGTCTTTGGACTGTGGGGAACCAGCTCAAACCAGTGACCTTCTAGCTGTGAGGTGATCGTGCTACACACTGCGCCACTGAGACGCCTGTAATTATTATGGTTATCATGATTATTTATTTATTTATAAGTATATGTTTTTAGTTTTAAAAAATCTGTTTTAATTTCTTTGTTGTTTGAGTCGTTTGTGTGTTTTGGACCGTAAGTGTGTATTATTAAAACTTTGATTATGATGATGATGATGATTATGAATAATCTGATAATTATTGTATATTTTTTTATAATTAAAATATTAAAATATTAAAAATATGTCCATATAGATCCGTAAAGTAATCATGATTATAATTCTATTATAATTCTATTATCTTTTAATTATCATTCTATGCTTTCCACAACATTATAAACATTCCACAGACTGCTTTTGTGCCTTTGATGTGTAGAACGCGCATTCTAAAGTTGTTGAAAGCCCTTTCTGACGTCATACAGTGAGTGACCTCATATTTCCGTTATTCAGCAGTTGTGAGTTTCTCTCCGGCTCCCCCAGTGTGTTGCGACAGTTCCTTCGGTTACAGTAAATACAAACGCGACTAAAAAAAACGACCTTCATGGCAGGAGGATCGTCTGCGCCGCTGCTCCGCCCTGCGTCAAAGTCACGCCCGCTCGTGCAGGATCAGCGCGGTTCAGTCATCGAGCCGCAGTACAAATCATACTATGGCAAACACCAGCCTCATGAATATTAATGAGTGAATGCTGTCGTTGCCTAGTAACGATCTCGCGCAGCTTTCAGACCTGAGGATTTACCCATGTGTCGGATATTTGTTATTTAATGTTAGGAAAAATTAATTTAAGTAAATATATTTAATCATAGAATAAAAAATGAAGGAAAAAAAATCTAATTATATCAAAGTTAATTAAAAGACATACCCCAGGTTAATAATAATAATAATATATATCATATTTGTAAAATAACACAGGGGATTGATTATAAATGTTGTCACAAATTGTAAAAATACAATTTGAATAATAAAAAATAAACTTTTAATAATAGATGTATAATTAATAATTTTATCTACATTAATCTGGATTATGAAAACAAAATGTCTACATATATGTACTTTTATAATTGATTTCATTTCTCTCTCTCTCTCTCTCTCTTCTATATACACACACACACACACACACACACACACACACACACACACATATATATATATATATATATATATATATATATATATATATATATATATATATATATATATATATATATATTAGCAGTGGGTAGCACAATCGCCTCACAGCAAGAAGGTCGCTTGTTCGAGCCTCAACTGGGTCAGTTGGCATTTCTGTGTGGAGTTCGCATGGGTTTCCTCCGGATGCTCCAGTTTACCCTACAAGTCCAAAAACATGGTACACACACAGCTTAAATAAGAGAAGATGCAACATAAGATTAGATACTCTCAGTTCTACTTGGATTTGCATGCAGACACTACTAATGAGGACACAAAGACTTTACAGTATTTTGCTGTTCTTTTTCTTGATTTTACAAAAAAATCCTGCAGCTGTGATTGCCAGTAATCTTCTGTTTTTAACATTTCACAATCGTAAATTCAATTTACAGAATATTTCTGTTAAAAATACATTCCACAGTGTGTATTTTTCATTAAACACATTTAACTCCTTAAATCCCAGAGCAAAATCCTCTCTAGGGTCCTCACTACAGAGAGTTGAACTGTGACAGTGATGGATTTAATAAGATAATTAAGTGTATTATTAAAGGAGAATTATTGATCAACAACTGTTAACAAGCAGAATCACCGAAGGAAATAAAACCAAAACCAAATTACAGTTACAATTAATTTATATTTATTTATTTATTTATTTATTTATTTATTTATTTAGAGAGAGAGAGAGAGAGAGAGAGAGTCACTAAAGCAAATCATAGTTCCATAGATAAAAAAACATTAAAAATAGCCTTAGCAATTTATCATTGTGATATAATTACTGTAGTAATAATAATTGTAATAGTTGTATGGTAATAGTTGTGATAATTATTATTGTAATAGCTGAGCTGCCGTATAGTAGGCTTGTTGTAAAAAATATTTTATTTAAATAAAATTTTAATAAAATGTTAAAGCTTAACAATGAATTAAAATGTCATACCATGATTATTCAGATAGTTAAAAAATAAGGAAATAAATATTTGAAACAATAACAACAACTTTGCGATTCTTTGGCCCTATTGCCATGAACCTCTGCTCTAAAACCAAAGAGCATACAATCACCAAGAGGCGACACTCTGTTGCTATTTGGGAAACAGCAACTAGATGCCACTAGTGTCATGTGGAGGCCATTTTGGAATGAAAATTCCAATAGGAAAACAGCACGGATAACTAACATCAAAAAGCTTAGAATCACCAAGAGGCGACACTCAATAGAACGTTCCGTTGCAACAGCAGCGCCCAGCAACAGCCCTGCGATTCCACCCTTTTGGAGTGAAAGTGGTCGGCCATCCATTGGATCTCATTGCTGTTGCGATGGCAAGCAGCTGCTTTGTTTTCAATTTATTTATTCAAAACGTGCATTAAAGCTGTGTGGAAATATAAATTTCTATCAACTAATTCCAAATGAACAATAATCTATGTATAACTGAAAAGTTATATTCTTTGGTTTTTAATTATATAACTTCATTAACATCCCAGCTAGGAGGGACATTTAACCTTTATCTTTCTGACTACAGGCTAAGTCAGTGATGCAAATGCTTTAAACGACTCTGTCTTTGTCTTCGGGTGTTGCTTTTATGCTACAGAAAGTTGATTAACTTGTGTGGTCAGTAGCTGGGCCGTTTTTTAACACCTATGCCATGCTGACTCCAACTCTTAATTTGCATGCTTTGTTTAGCCAGATCCCGTCCTCCTAAGAACACAATATAGACATGAAATCTTTGTCTTAAATCAAACTTGTGTGAGACTTGTTACAGACTTGTAAAAGAACTTGCAGACTGCGGACCTCTAGTAGGCTCTTGCAGACACATGGACATCTTAAAGACGCTGTATGACTGCAGATTAACCAACACGTCTCAATAAAGGAATTCTGCTTGTTTCGAGTCTCCTGGACTGGGTTCTCTCTTCTTTTCACTCATTTATTTTTTTTCAACAGCTGACATACAACCTGAAATACGACAATATAAAGCTTACTATCTCAATCATCAGCACTTTTAATAGTTTATTTTTACAGGCTTATAATATGCTGTGGTTCTATTGGAATTTTCATTCCAAAATGGCGGCATCTACTGGCTGTTTCCCAAATTACAAGAGAGTGTCGCCTCTTGGTGATTCTATGTTCTTTGGGAACATTAGACAGAATGAAATAAAATATTGAGTAAAATGTGAGTTAAAATGAGTACATCCCCTTTGAAAAGTAACATTTTAAAGGGCCATGACACCCCCCACTTTCGGTTAAAGTCTACTTCAGAATTTTTTCAAAAGATGCAGGATTTATGGGCGTGGAGCTCCGCGAGCATCGAACAGGAGTGGGCGTGGCCAGCAGGGGAGGACGTGAGCGAACGAAGCTAGCTCACAAAATGAGACAAACCGTGAGGAGACGCATGAGTTTATAGTTTACAAAGTTAAAATGTAAAGAAATGAACAGTGATTTAATGCCCTGCTCCATTTGTTATTCGTAATTTCATACACACATAACCACAATTTATATCATTATAAAGATAAGTGTGTTCATGTAAACACTATAAATGAGGACTTCTCCCTCAATCCCCGTTTCCAGCAGACTCAGTGCAGCAGGTCTCCTGACCCGTCTATTTTAACCATTAGCCCTGCTGGTAATCTGGAGGATTTAGGCAAACACAGCAGCACAGTGATGTGTCTGAATGTGAACGAACTCCTGATAAAAGACAGCGTCCGCCATTCTTTAATTCTCTTGCTGCTTTCCCGACAAAAATGCTTCCATCACACACACAGCTTTGCTGTATGATCGGCCCTGACAAGATCGTGGGGGAAAACATGCAACAAACCCCGTGGATCATGGAAACAAACACATATGAGCCTTCATGAACAGCTAAATACTGTGTGCCGTAGGTCCGTGATGTGTCTCACAGCTCGGGCTTGACTCTGGCAGGTCTGGCAGGTCTCATGAATAATTACGCAGCCAGCTCTTCTCATAGGATAAGAAAACTCCGCTATGAATAATAATGAGAAACCGACGCATCATCATTGCACTTGCAGTACTGCGCTACGTCGCCGATTTTGATCCCTCCCCAAACATCATTTTAAACCCGGAAGCTGAAATTAGCTGACAAAAGCTCAAAATGATCCAGTTTTCCCCACAATTAAAGCTGACAGGTGCTAACATTGTCTTAACTGATGCTCAACACACACAAATCTGTTAATATATATAAAAAAGTTCTCCGGGGTGTCCTGAACCTTTAAAACAATATCTCAATAAAAACAGACAATTTCCAAAATGTTGACAGGACTAAGTTTAATACATCTGATATCTAAAATATCTGTTTCACAATTAAGGTTAACAAAATAACTTAATTTCCTTCTTTTTACTCAAATTATGGTTAAGCAAAAATGAGTATACACAACAAAACTACATTATTTGGTAGTTTGTGATTCTAAGCTCTGCTTAAACTGAAGCGATTCGTCAATCCGTCGTCAGCCTCCCGTCCACTAAACTGGTTTCAGCCAATCAGCTGCGCCTACAGGGCTAACCTAAAGAAACGTCATGAATATTCAAGAGCCGGGCCTTCGCCTTAGTAAGATTCAAAACATGCGCGTCCCGGGGCGGTTGAAGTGACGCGTTTTCCTGGGCGGGTTTATCCGCGTTCCTCAACTCTTTCCTCGGGCTGCGGGAGTGAGAGCTGCCGCTGTGGACCGTGTGGACCGGCGGAGAGACATGTATCAGTTATACGCCACAGGAGCCAGAAATCCACTCAGTACTGAAGCCGGTGAGTTGCTCCGCGTGTGTGTGTGTGTTTCTCAGGGTGTTCTGGGTGTGTTCAACCACACAACAGGCTTTTTGGAGAACAACAAGACAAGCTTTAATTTTCCACCCGTGGAAAACCATTAGACTGCAGGCCCAGGACTGAGCGTGTGCGCTTAACTTTGCGTGTCTCGAGTTAGTCAATGAATTATTGAGTTTTGGTGTTTCTGTCCTTGAGTTTTCACTTTCCACAGTGTTTCATACGCGTGTTTATTTGTGTGGATCTCATCTGGTTGATGAAAAAGCTGATGTAATTACTACAGGACTCCTATAAGGGGTTCATTCTGGGGAAAAGTTCAGAGAAAACATTGTGTATAAAGTAAATCTTAATAAAAACTTAAGAGTCGTAAGAGACACAAACAAGCTAGACAAATAGTGTTGAATTAAAAAAAAAAAGGTAATAAATAATTCATTTAAAACGCAGTGCTGTCGTGTCTAGAAACAAATATAATGAAATACTAGAATATTTATCTTAAAATGACACTTTTGTAAATGCATACACACACACACACACACACACACACGCACACACATATATATAGATAGATAGATAGATAGATAGATAGATAGATAGAGAAAGAGAGAGAGAGATGGTAGATTGAGATAAATATTACATTATTATACATGCACTGTGCTTAAAGGAAGAAGTATAACCACTTAATTCAGAAATAAAAACAAGTTATGAAATCTGTAATAAAAAGACACTTGTTTAAAAATGCAGTGCTATAATAAGTAAAACAAAATATTACACAACTGTAATATACATTTATAAAGGGGCTTTTGTCCATACAAATAAATAGAAATGATTATTCAAATTTAGGATGATCATCATCATATTTTGTGGGATTTAAAAGATTGAAAACCTTTAGTTTAGACCAGTGGTCCTCAAACTTTGTTCATCAAGTACCACCTCAGAAAAAAAAATGGTCTCTCCAAGTACCACCATAATGAGCATTATTGAAATACAGTGGCGTAGTAAAGCAGCTACAGTTCTGCACAGTTCAAAAACATGGCAAGATTAATTCCTATTGTTAAGAATATTTATCATTGTCAGCCTCTTTAAACATAAATAGTCTGAACGTTAACACTGTGCTTGTATGTAAAAAAAACAAGTAAACTAAAAAGTCAACATTTAAGAAAAGTGCTGTACTTAAATGTAAAGTATTAAGATATAGTAGCCAATTCATTGACACCTGAAAATGTTGCCTGGACCTCAGAATTATAGGCTATATGTCATATAATGAATATTATTATATGTCATGTTCATATAAATCATTTTTTCATACATTTTGAAATATATGTAGCATGTACATATTACATTTAATTCCTCCGCGTACCACTAGAAGGAAATCTGCGTACCACTAGTGGTACACATACCACAGTTTGAGAACCACTGGTTTAGACTGTTAGGATGAGGTAAACTTAGATTGATTATACAGGCATTGTGCTAAAGATTTTCACTAATTAATTAAAAAAATAGAATTAAGTTAGCTTAAGTGCACTAAAATAAGAAAAGTCAATAAAAATAAACTGCTAAATAATAATTGCATCCAAAATTGCTGCTATAGTGAGAAAACAGTGAAACAATAGGATATTTTAAGAATAATATATCAGGGTTTTTCCTACTGGTCAGATTGGACCAGTGGCTCAGATTTTTACTTGCCCTGCCAAAATTTTCACTGGCCCGAGCAAAAAAAAAAAAAAAAGTATATATTTTTTTAAATTTAGTGACAAGCCAGCACAGCCCCGATTGGGCTAGTGACAATTCAGTCTACTGTCCCGAGCATCTCTCACGCTGTCCCTGGGCCATCTGGCAGTCCTTATTGTTGAGCCCTGTATATGTAAACAATGTGAAAAACTTTTATTTTTTTTTTTATTTTTTTACATTGTACATATTCATAGGGAGTTTTCTACTTGCTAATAGAGCTGCCTTTTAACTCTAAAGATGAATTTTCGGCATATTTAGTGGGATTAAAAGCCTTGAAACCTTAAATTTAGACTGTTAGATTGAGGTAAACCTACATTGATTATACAGGCGCTGTGCTAGAAATAATAAAAACAAAAATAATAACAAGTTAGATAAAGTGCACTAAAATAAAGTCAATGAAAATTAATTGAATAAATAATAATTGCATATAAAATTGCAGCTTTTTAGTGAGTAAAAAAACAATGAAACAATAGAATAGTTTAAAAACAATATATTAAAAATATTTTTATTGGGAGTTTTTTTACTTATAAATGTATTGAGCTGCCTTTATATCTTAGAATAATTTTTCATCATATTTAATGGTATTTAAAGCTTGAAACCTTCACTTTTGACTGTTAGGTTGAGGTAAACATACATTGATTATATAGGCATTGTGCTAGAAACAATACAACTTATTAAAATGAATAAAACAAGTTAGATAAAGTGCACTAAAATAAAGTCAATAAAATAAAATTAATAAATAATAATTGCATTTAAAATTGCAGTGCCCTATTGAGTAAAAACAATAGAATAGTTTAAAAACAATACATAAAAAAACTATTTTTATAGGGAGTGGTCCACTTACAAATGTATAGAGTTGTCTTTTAAAGTTTAGGATAATTTTTATCATATTTAGTGGGATTAAAAGCATTGAAACTTTAAATTTAGACTGTTAGATTGAGGTAAACCTGCATTAATTATATAGGCATTGTGCTAGAAATAATAGAAATAATTCAAAAACAAAAAACAAGTTAGATAAAGTGCACTAAAATAAAGTCAATAAAAATTATTTGAATAAATAATAATTGTGTATAAAATTGCAGCTTTTTAGTGAGTAAAAAACAATGAAACAATATAATAGTTAAAAAACTATATATATATATATATATATATATATATATATATATATATATATATATATATATATATATATATATATATATATATATATATATATAAAAATATTTTTATTGGGAGTTTTTTTTACTTATAAATTTATTGAGCTGCCTTTTATATCTTAGAGTAATTTTTCATCATATTTAGTGGGATTTAAAAGCTTGAAACCTTCACTTTTGACTGTTAGATTGAGGTAAACATACATTGATTATACAAGCATTGTGCTAGAAACGATACAAATAATTAAAACGAATAAAAACAAATTAGATAAAGTGCACTAAAATAATGTCAATAAAATGAAATGAATAAATAATAATTGGATTTAAAATTGCAGTGTTGTAGTGAGTGAAAAACAAGAGTAGTTCAAAAACAATACAAACTATATAGGGAGTTCTCCACTTACAAAGGTATAGAGTTGTCTTTTAAAGCTTAGGATAATTTTTATCATATTTAGTGGGATTAAAATCATTGAACTTTAAATTTAGACTGTTAAATTGAGGTAAACCTGCATTAATTATATAGGCATTGTGCTAGAAATAATACAAATAATTAAAACAAATAAAAACAAGTTAGATAAAGTGCACTAAAAGTCAATAAAAATTTAAATAAATAAATAATAATTGCATCTAAAATTGCAGCACTATGGTGAGTAAAAAACAAAAAATATATAGAGGGCTTCCTTTTAAATCCCACAAACCCCTAAAACTTAAAAGCTTGACTTTAAACTTAGATTGAGGTAAACCTTACAATGAGAAATTAAAAGTTTCACCAATTAATTCAGAAATGAAACCATTTCCATATACTTTCTGCTGGTTATGATGTGGGTTAGTGGTTAAAATCTAGTTTAGTAACCTGTAGGTTGTAGGTTTACACATCAAATTGGTTGCACCGCCATTATGCAACACTGTGGTTTACATATATTTGCATAGGTTCTTCACACAGAGCACAATTGTTTTATTGACTTTTATGGTGCATTTTGGCTTAATTCAGTCTTAGAGCGAGTTGTTTTCTTAAGTTGCAGGTTAAACGCTGACCCCGAGGCGAGAGATGTGTGTGTTTTTGAGCGAGCGTGGGTCTTATGTTTTTTCCTCCACATGTGTGAAGTTGTCTTTGTTCACTTGAGAAAGTGGTGTGTGTGTTGATCTGCGCAGGTCGCTTTCATGATTGACCGGATTCAGTGTTTTTGGGTTGAAACAAAAGCCTGTGTGTACTAGGCCTGTCATGATAAGGAATTTTTGTTTTGCGATATATGGTCACAGAAGTTGTTGTGATATTATTGTCGTTTTGAGATTTTTATGCCACTGATTATATAATGAGTGTAACAGCAGCATAAGAATGATAATACAGCCATAACAGTACTCCCACAGGTTTGAAATGTACTTCCGGTGGTAGCCGGATTGAAACACACCATCTACCCAAATTACATAAATAGTAAATTATATGCAAAAAACAAAACTTAATTTAATTTTTATGATAATTTTATTTATTATGAAACTATTTTACACTAATTCTTTTCAATGGCTTAAAGGTGCAGTAGGTGATTGTCTTCAGATGCATTTTTTGTTGTGCTTTTTTGTTGTATAAATGTATTTATATGTATTTTTATATTCTGGATAAGCCATAAAACTAAAAAAAATTGTTCATCCAATTAAATATTGTTGGACTGACATCTCCCATAATTCCGATAAGCAGCTCAAACTGTCTGTCAGCAAATGTAGATTCGGACTTCTGTGCATCTGTTCACGCAGATCCGCCAATCGCGCATGCCTGCCTGCATAAGCGCTGCATGGTCACAAGACAGACTGGGAGAAATCAAATGCTGAATTGAAACTTTTGAAAATCCTGAATCAATATTGGAGTTACTTTAGCACGCTGGAGGAAGGACGACACCATGGCTGAAGTATTACTGTTAGACAGGTAATGTTCTGTTTTAACACTATTTTAGTCAGGCTAAGCTGATGTCAGATTGTGTTCTGTTATGAATGGCTTATATGCACAGAAGTGTTGTTCAGCCACTGAAATCTCCTGGTGGAAGATTGATGTGATTATTTTCAGTTTCATAAGGGACTTTTACAGCATCGATAATGTAGATTTTTAGTTTA